ACCCCTGCATCGGCCCCCAGCCCTCCCTCCCTCCCTCCCTCCACCACAGGCGAGTCCTGTACCATCCGACCGGCGCCTTCAGTGCCCTGCTCTGGTTCGTGGAGATCAGCATGGGCATTGTGTGTGCATGCGCCACAGTCGCCTCGGTGCGAGGCATCATCCTGAACTGGACCACCTACAAGCTTTTCGCCAGCTAGGCGGGCGAGGTCCCAATTCCTGAGGAGGAGGTGGGGGGGGATTGGGGGGTGCTGCATCTGTCGGACACTCAGAAAGCCAGCCGCAGCCCATGTTCCCCGCCTGCCCGGCCTGCCCGACCCGTGGCTCCGCCCGCGACACATTTTCAGCAATCCACACCCACTTTCCCGGGGTCTGCTTGGCGCGAGGCGTGTGACCAGTGTGACCACCCTCTGCAACCACCGACCCCTTCCTTTTCTGCTCAAATAACGGCACAGTTTTTCGCCCTTGAGCCAGTGACGCCTGCGAGGCTTGGTAGCCGCTCGCTGTTCTCCCTGCCTGTGCCGGAATGTGCTGCGTTGCTGTGTGCATGAAGCAGGCCCCCCATGAAATTTAACACTGACCCCGAGGAGGCCAGGCCACTCAAAACATTGTGGACGCAGATTTCATGGGCCCGAGGGCGATGATCCCATCATCGTCCCCACCATCGGCATGGCCTAATAGGTGGTAGTGCTGGGCCAAGGCATATAAATAGTTCAGCAGCACAATGCAATGATTGCCTGGCAAGGTCTAGCTCTGAAACTGTACATGCACAAGTGGCTTGCACCTGGATGAGTGACAAGGAACGATCAAGCATTGCAGGCCCCCCCATCTTTAACAACCTGGTCATCGCCGGCATCTGCCGTGAAGGTGAGCAGGGCGCGAAATGTCGGGAGGTTTCGGAAATCCCCCCCAAACCCTGGCACTATGGCTTGAGATGCCGGCCCACCATAGCGACGATACCTTCCCACCGGAGCGATGGCTTCATGCGCTACCTTCACCATGACTGTTCGAGGTCTTCTAGCTTCGCACGGACTCGTCACTCGAGGTGGCCTGGTGCGCACGTTCGCCAACGCTGCCAAAAAGCCCGCGGACCGCTTCGCCGAGTTCATTGCATCAGGTGTGGGAATGAAGTAAGGTTTCAAAGAGGGTACCGAACGCTTGTAGCCTCCTCGGCGATTGCCTGACACCGGA